CCTTCGCTGGACTTGTTCTTTCTTAATTCCCTTACCGCGCTTGCGGCTGATACGAGAAGCAGTCCCGCAACGTGAAATGCTCCCGGCGACGTCTTTGATGCTCTCGGACTTTCTACAGGGTCATATTCTGATATAAATTCGTTCCAAACGTTTGACATCGTCTCGTTCATCTTCTCCCATAGTTCTGGTATCGCTTTTGGTGTTGGGAATAACTTGTTTAATGGACTTGCTTGTGTATGATCCGTTGTTTGCCTCACTTCAGGCTTTAGTTGTTCAATGAGTAGTAAATCCCTAATATTGATTGAGTTAGTTCCAGAAAGCAGCAAATGATGGACACGAACTAGAATGTAATATTTTGGATCTGGAGATATGCATGGTATCACGATATACTGCCACGGTGGCTGGTCACTTGGAAAATATTTTGATATTATTTCGCTGACATAATCCTGGAACATAGAAAAAAACTTACAAATCGGTTCGTGGAATAACTAATGCTCGCACTATATTGTGGTAAAAAATCTTGCAAAGCTAAGTACTAGGATTACATGAAGTAGGTGTATGTAGACCTCACCTGAATGTTAGAGTCAGACACCGGTCTGCCGCGGTACACGGCATTCGAGACTATAAAGTGATTTTCAGGTCTGAAGGGCATATGCGCGTCCCAGGCGTAGTTACCCCAACAGGAGACGAGGCAGTGGCGCAGACGCGGAAACATCAGCTCGCCATCTTTATCTCGCCGTTCGATTACGTGCTCGTACAATTCATTTCTAATTTGGTCCACGTTGTGAGTCCCTTTAATTAATAAATCAAAAAATTCCATACATTACAAGATTGACTTTACAATTTAGATGAAAAAGTTGACGATTGTGACGTAATATCAACTTCTGAAGTAAAAGTGCATGTCGACAAATTCGTGTATAGTTTTTATGATTCTGTCGAGATTATGAGACTTTAGTTATTCGTTAAATGTGTGATTTAAAAGAAAAGAGACGGTAAATACATAATAGATATTATGATATCGTTTTCAGAATAGGCCAATGGCATCGACATTCGATAGTGGACCACAGGAAAGAGTTCAAAATTGACCGATAGCGGAATTAAAGAAAGGTCAACGATCCGGCAGTGATTAAAAGCAATAGACCGATAAAGATAATGAGTTTATCAAATATACCTTTGATACAAAGAAGTACGTTGATAATTCCCTGGTTTCTATGAGTGTCGAGCAATGATCGGATCGTGTCTGTTCTGATGAATTCCAAGTGAGGATAGCGACTGGACAGCAGTTTGATCCATAGATGCTTACTGACACGTACAACTGGAAAAATTAAAATAAATCACAATAAATACAACGCAAGAGAAATACATGTTTAGGAATACATCAGCGATGGAATACTTAACTGTCAAAAATACAAATATACATCATCATCTTTCTCCTTATCCTACTCCTGTAGGGTCGTCAATAAACTAGTTAAGCAACTTTAAAGATGCAAAAATATACAAGCTACTTTAATAAGTAGAAACTTAAGTATTAAAGAATAATTATTTTATAGAATTTAATGGAAGAGATGAAAGGTGTTTTACGTTTGTCTTGAACTAGATGATAGATAGTCTTTTAGTAGGTGACTTTTGTGTGATCACTGACTAGCTTGGCGAAACTCTTGAGCATGTCAATATCTTACTAAGTAAAAGTTACTCACCTACGTATGATAATGCCAATGCAGGTAACGAGGACACGGCAATCCAAAACGCACAGTATGTGTAAATTTCATGTGCGATTCTTCCGCGAACTCCTTTTGTTTTGGATTTGATCATCATGCGACACGTCCGCTCTCACCCAATGCCTGGAACCCACTAATATATTGATCTATGACTCCAATACTGATAAATGTGATAACTACAATACAGATATGTTGTTTGTAAACAAAAATTATGTCGGTGAGAACAAAGTCGATATGAGTTAACCTAAATTAAGATGTGATTGTGACCGTGTAATAAAAAAATTAAAAACGAATAATAAATAAAAAATCTGAAATCTCAATCAAATCTTTATTCATTGCCGTACTGATATTTTTTTTCAAGACAGCGGCGTTAGAATATTGTTAATTTAATCTCTTGAGTGCAGATTTCTCGCCGTAAATATGGTCTTGGTTATACCGACTTTGAGTGGCCATTTTGTTAAATTACTACAAAATGCATGAATGTATAACAGTAACATCGTTTCAAGTAAATGATATAATACGGTATCGAAGTAGTCCGCCAACAACTAGTTTGCAAGATTCAGTACAATTTGCAGCAGGTTCTTGCGGCGGTCCGTCTGCATTGCTTAACTGCATATTATTTACAAGAATACAAGGAATAATAATAATAGGGAAATACAGCTTTCTTACAAATATGTTTGCTTTATTCATCATTATATTCGTGTATCATAATGTGTGTAACAAAATAAAATATGACCTCATTAAAATATTGCAACACTTGTCGGTAATCAAGCATAAATGTTGAAGCAAACGGAAATAATATGATGCAAAAATATACACAAAAATGAAAATCCCTGGCACGCACGGAACATAGTTTTATACTGGAGATATGTATCATTTTTAATGTATGTAATTAAAAACGTAATCTTGAAATGACCATAGAGTTAATCTTAACACACTGGAAGAAATTTCACATAGTAATTTAACGTAAATAAATAAAGAAAAAAAATCTTTTGAGCGACAACAGCAAAATGTGCCACTTTCTCCCGACACGGATAGCAAAACACAATCTTATGATTTCTCTGTTGCCTAGAACTAGATTCTATTCACAAGAAGGTCGAGAGTTAGAGAAAATGTTACCACATGTGTTTTTAATTGGTAATTAAGCTATTTAGCTACGATTACTGTCGTTTCCCTAATAAGTTGTTTATCTTCCCAGCGTATACCGACTTCAGCTTGTAAAACGTGGATAAGCAGATACACACTAAGGTACTCCCTTACTGACTACTTAATAATTTTGTGCACGGTAGTAAATCTACACGTTATTTGAGTGTAACTATTAGATGTCTTAACACAGTGATGACTCTAATTGGGGTGTCGACTGGCTCTCAACATGCCTTCTGCACCCATCCTATCAGCTCTGACCCCGTTGCATACATACAAGTTCTAACCTCTCACCGATCTATTTGAGTCAGTATATTCTAGTGTTATCTATTTAAATCAAATAAATAAATAATTTTTTTTATTTTTATTTTATTTATCTATTTAAATCGATAACATTCATAGAGGGTTAACACTATGACCAGAGTGGCTTTATTGGATGATCATGAAAATAAAAAATAGGATCTAATTAGGTACCTTTCATGTAAGTGTTTTTTTTTTTTAATTTAAGTAGATTTTTGTCAACTTACTAACATTTCCTTTTAACATTTCCATTCCAACTAAGCTCTAGGCTTGTGCTAGAATATGGTTCACGACAATACTCGAATGCCGGGATTCGAACCCTCGACCGTACGATCTGTAGTCCATATCCCAAACCATTAGGCTATTGGCTATTTTATTCAAGTGTTTATATAATAATCAATTACAGAATTCGTTTCGATGTGAACACCGACCAGTGAATGTCAGATTTGTTACTTACGTCGTTACAACGCAATCAGGTAGCAATTTAGTCTTCAATGATCATTTCGTAATAATAGTTTAATTTCATACTTTGACATTGAAGAACTTACATTTAGATTAGCTGTTGTTTATTGAATCAACTGTTTACTTTTGTAAATTAATCACAACAAACTTTAATAGTGTTAAATGGTGATTTTTATTCCATTTTCTTATTGTTCGTTTTATCTATGTTTATTGTTACGTTTTTCGAAAACCGAAATACTTGGATAAAAAAGAAAGAACCAGACTTTACTCCTCTGACTTAACAAACTAATGTAACTATCATCATCATCTCCCCTGCCTTATACTACTCCCAATAACTACTCCAAATAACTCTATCATCCGTCATCTCAGTCATCACTCCTTTCTTGATCATGTCACCTTTCACGCATTCTATCCATCTCTTTCTAGGTCTACCTTCACCAGTGTACCTCCACACACATAACTAACGTCCGTCTTGTTAAACCTAATGTAACTATACAATATAAAAAAACAGCATAGAACGTAAATTATCATAGAATAATGTAATTAGTAGCTTGGATCACTTGATGGTCAGTAACTAGACTTTGTTTCGATGATAACATTGATACGGAATTGCAATAACTGTGTCGCAACAAGTTTGATAAACGTTTTACGGTAGTTACATTCCCTGATAGCAAACGTCGACGTTTTATTTAACTAATTCATTACATTGATAGACTAGCTGTTGCTTGCGACTTCGCCAGCGTGATATTAAAATATATAGCCTATGTTGTTCACAGATAAATTACCTTTCTAACAGTGAAAGAATTTTTGAAATCGGCCCAGTGGTTGTTGAGTTATTTCAATACATACATAAATACAAATCTTTCTTCTTTATAATATTAGTACAGATAAAAAATGATTTACAACTAAACAGACATAAATTTGAAGTCTTGTGTGACTTCGATGAAACAAATCGATTTTTTTCTAATTATCTACTATCGCAATGGTTTATAGAAACAAAATAATTAGCTGATTTACTGTAAAAGGCTGGGTATAGGAACAGTTCATCTTTGAATGACATTCTTATTTTAAAATGATTACGTTAATTGTAAAGTCTTTGACATAAAATGTCTATATTAATATTGAGGAATCGGAACTTTTCTAAACTTTTGTTGAAAATAGATAAGACTTATGTATGTAAGATTTATCGTAATCAGGAAAATAATAGAATGACGACATCAGTACAACTAGGAAGTTGGAAAAAGATGTATAAGTTTCTTATCTTACTTATGTCATAAATGCGAAAGTTTAGATGAGTTTGTTGCCTAACTGCTGAACGGATTTCGATGAAATTTGGCATGGATGTAGAGTATAGTCTGGAAAACGCATAGGCTTGTTTTAGTTTTTTTTTTAATTCCACGGACGGAGTCGCAGACGAGAGCTTGTCAATTTATAATAGGAAAAGAAACAAGTGTCTTTACAAAATGACCTTTTGGAAGGATATCACACTATGTAACACTATGTGTTGTCCCAAGTAGAATCAGTTTAGGAAAATTTTAAAGATTTTTTTCTCTCTCAATAAATACTCTTCTCAGTAACAATTAAATGATAGTCCAAATTAACCTATTAATTTTGTTTATAGTCAAATAACCTCGGTCGCCATTTTACTATTTCTATAAACAAATGAAGATTACAGACGAGGTCTCCGCATGTCATAAAAACAAATAATAGAAACTGATAATAGCTAGAAATCAATAATTATCTTCTATTACAAATAGGATTTCGTAATTTGTTGACACGAATTAAAATAAGAATTTAACTAATAAATTAATTTACCCACAAATCACCGTTTCTTATTAAAAACTACCCGTTAAATTAAAAAAATATAACCTGTTAATAATAACGTAGCTTTTTAATGGTCAAAGAATTTTTGAAATTGGTTCAGTGTTGAGTTATTCAATACATACAAAAATAGAAATCTTTATAATATTAGTATGATAAAATAAAAAGTTAACTTTTTTGTACCAATAAAACAATTATTCCTACCCACATTAACTTACAATAATCGATCTAAATAGCAAAATAAGTCAAAGATTTTATTTAATCAAGTTAAAAATGTACTGAATACTTACAATTTAATAAAAAACACCAACAAATCACTTTGCGTAACGAAAAACTTTTATGTTCAAATTTAAAGCACAGAATACGTCATCACAGAGCGTCGGCCGGCCGCGATGTGTTCGATACGCGCCAATCAGCACTCCGCCATCCCTGCCCTTATCAAATAGTACCAACGTCCAAAGTCACCATACAAGTCCCATACGCCCTTAAACTTTTTACGATATAAAATGAATATAACAATTGCTTGCTTAAATTCTTTATTAAATTTGGGGTTGTTATTTTTTATGACTTTAGATTTTATTACTTTTTAATTTTCTGATTTACATTATGTTACAAAAAATATACGATTGAAATATAAGCTATTCTGGTCTTTATAACGCCTGTTAAATAAAAATATTTTTTTTTGCTATAATCATAAATCTTCCATCAACTTCCTGGTTTTATTTGTTTTTTCTGACTTAAGTTATTCACCAGCTCACTAAAATATCATCTTCCTACTCTATTGTACCACTCTGGATGATATTTAAAAAAATATGTACATATGGTAAGTAAATATATATTACCTATTATATTAATAGTAAAATTATATTAATAGTGAAATTAAAAAATATCGCCTATGTTTCTTATGGATAATGTAGCTTTTTAAAGGTGACAGAATATTTGAAATCGACCCAATAGTTTTTTAGTTATTTCAATACAAGAACACAAATCTTTCCTCTTTATAACCTAATCTTATCTAGCCCTAACTAATATTATACTCGCAAATGTGAAATTTTAGATGGATTTATGGATGGATGTTTGCTGGAGTTTGTAGCCTAAACGGCGCAACGGATTTCGGTGAAATTTGGTACAGATGTAGAGGATAGCCTGGAAGAACACATAGACTACTCACTTTTGTTTTTTTTAATACCACGCGGACGCTGGCCAAAGCTGGCCAAATATAAATATGTATTCTATCAGTCAGGAATTAACACTCGACATAGTTGAAACCTAAGAAAAGGATTTTGAGATAAAAATAAAGGGACACATCAAAATTAAAATTATTTATTGAAACATCGGTTTCCTCGTTTAAATTAATATTGATAATATAGTTTTCACTAACTCTAAGGAACTTATTTATATTTTACTGACATACAATTCAGCGCTCCATAAACATAAATAGCCGTAAGTACATAAAAATGTATGCATGGAAAGTACGTTTTAACATCTAGTTATCAATATAGGATAGTTAGGCTTTGCGGAAGATTACATTTTGCTATAAAGGACTAAAATTTAATATTACATTAACATCAATAAGACAATTGCTTCCAAAATTACATAAATAAAAAATGCCTTTAAGCGTTATTTTGTACCGATTTGATACCTCATTTATCTTGTCTATGTGTAGGAAACCATAGTGATTTTTTTAGTTATAAAAGTATTTTAATAAGGAAGTTTGTTTTTATAGAAAACAAAATGAAGTCTTACAGCCACTCTTATCACATATTACATCTTCTAAATACTTCTTTCTACAATAGAAAATCTACATCGTTAGACTTTCTAATCAAAATTAAAAAAAATAAAAACTATCAAATACGTTTGAAGTGAGTATATTCCGCTAACTGTAATATACAGCAGGGTCAGTGTTAAAATAAAATATAAATTGCACATTGCAAATATAACGAAACATAACATTATAATGCTACGAATCGAGTCATAATCGAAATAATTGTAAACATCGATAATAATATCGAATAATTCTAATGTCGATAATTTGGCATCCAACTAAATGTTGCTTAACCATTTTAAATTGAAAGTAAATGCGAATAAGCTTAAATTTAAAACAGGACTTCTTTAGATCACAGATAAAATAAAAATAAAACCAAAGATCAAATTACTAAAGTTAATTATTGAGAAAAAATATGTTTTTGAATTACTATAAAAGACTCGATCAACAAGTCAAGAAGTCCTGTTTTAATATAAAATATTAAAAATGGACGACGTAACTTTATGACGACTAAATACCTTCAAACTGCTTAAGCTGTTAGGCTGCTCAATTTTATTTATTCTACGAGTATTTGCTGTTAAGCTAATAGCGCATATAATTTGCATAATTCAGAATTTTTTGATCTGGCAATACCCAGCTTTCAGGAAAACAAATAGCAGTCTGTTATCTCAACCATTCTCGATTAGTTTACGATTCAGGTAAATTACAATAAATTTCATTACACAATTCTCATCAATTATATTTTAAATTGACTGTCACTGATACATATAGGATTTTAATTCATCTTATAAAATAATGCTATATAAATTGTAATATTATTTAACAGGAATTTAATGTCAAACTAAATAGCAACATTGAGATCGAATTGATAATACGCAATAGATATCAGACAGCACTCGCTTTAACTTGCTTATTTGTTAGAAACTTGTGCTCGAGGGACCTGCGAGGTATACCGCTCACTTTCTTAGTCGACTGGCCGTAGTTTATAGAGGAAGGCAGGGACTTGTAGCCTCCGTCTGAACTGTAATCAGTGTCCGTCGATTGACCATTCAGACTGGGACTGTGTCTGTTCCCATTCACACTTTCTTTGCTGCTTATCCTTCCATTGTAAAGGTCACCGTACGACGTGTGATGTTTTAACGTAGATTCGTCGGTTATCGTAGATTTGAATGGCTCGACGGACTGTCGACTGAAGTTCTCGATGGACCTAGATCGTGAGGTGTATAGAGTCTTTCTGTCGCTCTTGTCGCCTAAGGAGGAGTCTCGCTTCGTATACCTCTTGCTGTCGGAGCTCTTGGCGAGCGCTTGAAGGTATTTAGTGCCGACGCGGCTGTTAGTTTTGATTAGCACTGCTGTCTGTCTGTCCGTGTGTCCGTCCTCCTCGGTCACTCCGTTCACTTTCCTCGCACCGCACTGACATTTCACGGTCCCGTTGGTTACAGGTCTCTTAGTCTTTTGTGCTTCACTATACGACGGCAGCTTCCGTGCGCTCGATTGTTCATTCCAACTGTAATGGTATATATAGTATTAATGTAAAATGGTAACTAGAAAATTTATTTCACACAAGCAAAAGGTTTAAACTGAAATGTATGGAAATTAATTAAGATGTCTTAAACGTATTCTAAATTTAACAAAATATAAGTCAATCACAATAAATCAAACTGTTATATAATGTCAAGTACCTTTTCAGAACCTTACCTTTAAGTTCTGACGTGGCAGCGTGCAACACAGATAGAAGTTTCATAATCAAAGTACATTACAGAAATAGTTTAAATGACAATTTAAAAAATCTATCACACAATACAAACATTTACGACTTCATACAAAACAATAGGGACCATAGTAATCATGTTTTGTCCTATAAATTGATTATCAAGGCAGTTAAGTTTGTTATCAAATTGTAAAACAAAAAAGTCGTTTAATTACAAACATTATCACAGAGTATAGGTAACATTAGTATAAAACTTTAAAACCATCATCTGTTTTAAAAAAGCATGTCAAACAAATTCATAAAACTTTCAGAAAATTTTGTTACAGATTAGCACCATATGACGATGACAAGTATATTAAAATATTTATAAAATATCTGATTCAACATTACATTTAATCCAAAAACTTTTGTTCGTAACAAATACAATAAAAAGTCCAAAATACAGCATTGTTTGTTTTCAACTGTAATTTTGAAAGGTATAGCGTTAAAATTTCAGGATCTCTAAAGAACCGTCAAACGGTTGCAATGTATGTTTCATTTGAAATATTTGAAGCAGTACTGATCGATGTCTGTGTCGGAGGTGAGAATGTTGTTAGTGGAGGGGTAGACAAGATGCAGGAAGCAGAGTACATTGACAGAGCACAAAAGGCAAACAGCGAGCAAGCAGTCGAGCCACGCTACCTGGTCTGACGGACGAACCCTGCCGCCCCCCAAGTGGAAACTGTCGCGGTTATTACCATTGCGATTTTAAATTCCAAATCCGTAATGGAATTGAAAGCAGCATGTGAGGAAATTACAACAAAATGAACCTTTTTTAAATATAATGAAAAATAAATTGGAACAAATGAAAAATAGCAATATTAAAATATGTAATGGAGATGTGAATTTGGAAAATATAGTATATTATGAGGTAGACATAAATAGAAGTATTACAAAATCATAGGAAAATGCCAATGAAATAGGGAGAGATGGTGAGAGTGATTCTACACATAGATGTTGGTGAGAACGACATTTTTTTGTTCATGTATTCACTGAAAATGTTTGTCCAGTTACTTCTGACGTAGGATGTTAGTTGCAATGGGGTGAAAAGGGATTTTTGTACAACTGATGAACAAGTTTCTTTTAACTTTGGTAAAGTGATAAAAGGGGCAGAAGGTCCAAAGTGCTGGGGAAAGTATGAATAGCATAATTTTAACATGGATTTTATTGAATCTAACGACGCGGTGATTAACCTATAACAATAAATAGAAAGAGTAAATTATAATTTTGAAGTATCGAAAGGTTTTTTACCACACGGGAATACAACTGATCATAAATACTAATAAATAAGTACACAAATACAACTACTAGGCTAAAATATAGAATTTAAAAATGTGTAAGTGTGGGAAGCATGTTTAATATATGACACATATCTTGAATACAGCTTACATATATGATATAAGTTTTAATTAACTATAACAAGATCCAATATTTACCTCACTAATCCGGAATTTTCAGAACTCGTTAGCGCCGTGCTCATCGGTGGCCGCAACTGAAACAAGATACGAGCTTTTAATCGCCTCCA